GCTCAAATGGAGTTAACAAGGTTTTTGACCAGCGAATGACGGAGATCTGTGTTTTGTCTGTCATTACAACGGCCGCGTCTGCGGCAGCAAGTGCATCACATTATACGCTTTCATCAACTTACAGGTTATAACATTTATTGTAGCTATATGGGTTTGATACACTAGGCCAAAATCTCATGATAGACGACGAAGCGCTATATGCACAGGATATTTAAAACGTAGCCTACAAAAGTAGCCTATTGGTTACAACTAGACGGCAAAAGCTATTCTCCGCTCTTCAAGCACACAAAAAACATTAGCCTTTATAGACATAGTGTTTTAGTGAAGAAAACACTGTACTTATTCAAACATAATTTATTATTTACCCTTGCATTGCGAACAAGCCGAGATCTGTCTCCAGGCAGCACACGCTGCGCGGCGTTTGTTCTGAATGGAAGCAGGGTGAAGTAAAAAATTTTTTGCGTTAAAAATTTTAGCGACAAGCTCTTTTGAATGCCATACTCTGCCATTCGGAAACGCCGCCCCTGTTTACAACACTGTTCAAGAACACTTCAACCCAAATATTCAGATGTGTGCAGCACATTTTATGGAGGACTGTATCCTGATCCTGGGAGAGTAGACAACAATGCCGGCTGTTCTGACTCACAGACTGTAAGCACGTTTTTCATATTTAAAAGTTTGCCACTGATGATTCAAACGTGAGTTTTGAGCAGTGTAGAGTAGCGCTTGTTGTTTGTCATTTCTCCGATCACAAATGCAGACATGGTTTTATGTTTACGCGGCGCGATGCAATGCAACGTGTAAAAAGACAGTATAAGTCATTATAATCCGTAATTATGTCCCCACTGGATGCAACAAATGCCTCGTTTATAATGGGTTTTAATGTTTTTGTCTCGTCGCTCCGGCTGGACACGGCATCACAGTATGGTGAGGGGCGTAACATTTCCGTCGCTAAAGGCTACAAACACAGAGCGGCTCAAAGCGCTTATGTGCTGAAGCAACACGGAGTCACAGCGGAGTCAAAGTGAAGAGATATTGATGCGTAGTGTATTAAATATGTGCGTTAGTTTATTGAGCCTTTTCTTTTAACAGTTTTACATTTCAGTTACTGTGCTCATGACGAACAATTCATAGTGCTCTCTACTCCAGTCTTGTGATCTAACCAGATATCGGGTAGAAATGTACACGATTTAGAAACAGCACGAAACTCCAGCAAGATAAAATCATTTTATGCAAAACCATTTATCTTTATTTACAGATCAAGTATAATATTAGGAACATTTAATCATCTCGGAGAGCGTTTCGTCGTCTTGACTGTCATAACTGAATGTGACACACAGTTTGAATGCTGAATGGAGGATGACAGACAGCCGCCGCGGGGAGAGTTTACGTCAACTTGACTTAAATATTCATCTGTACCTCAAATTAAACTACGGAAAAGCTTCAAGAACACTTGAAATATAGTGCACGAAAACTTGATGGTGCTTTATAATGTTTTTGTGGCTTTCCTGGAGCTTAACAATAACACAGAATAGTATACGCACTATATCAGATTTGGATCGGTCTCGTCTGACCGATACCCCGATCCAGCAGAAAATGCCAGTATTGGAGCGATACCGATACTGAATATCGGATCGGCGCACCCCTACTAATTTCACATAACAGTGTTGGGGAAGCTAATCTGAAACTGTCTGTAGCCTAAAGCTACAAGCTACTCATAAGTGAAAGTAGTTAAGTTACATTCAAGCTACACTCAAGCCTTAAAAGTAGTTACACAACAAGTTACTATCAAAAAGCTAGCTACATTGAAAATACTTTTTTAAATACAGTTTTACAAAGAACTGATTTTTTAACATTTAAAAAAAAAAAACACCCACACACGCACACAGACACACACACAGACACAGACATACACACACGCACAGACACACACACACACACACAGACATACACACACCCACGCACACGCATACAGACACACACACACACACACACACGCACACACACACCCGCACACACACACACGCACACAGACACACACGCACACAGACACACACACACAGACACACAGACACACACACACACTGTTTCTGGAGCAGACTCTTAATTATATGGGATTTCATGATATTTTTGTTAAATGGGTAAAGACTTTTTACAAAAATCCTAAGTCAAGAGCTCGAGTTAATGGACATTGCTCAGAGTTTTTTAATTTAGGTAGGGGAACTCGTCAGGGAGATGCGATGTCTCCAGTCTTATTTGCTCTTAGCATTGAGCCACTAGCGGAGTTAATAAGGAGCAACCCCAGAATAAAGGGGATAACAGATAAAGGAGGGAAGGATCATAAGATATTGCTATACGCAGATGACATATTATTATTTATTGAAAACCCACTTTCATCAATCCCAGCCCTTTTAGAGTGCCTTAGAGACTATGGCTTAGTTTCTGGATACAAGGTAAATTCTGAGAAATCTGAGGCAATGATGATTTCAGGACATTGGCCAACTCAGTTAGATAATGAGGCATCTTTTCGATGGTCCAGTCAGGGCTTCAGATACTTGGGTGTTATCCTTACACCTATGGCATCACGTTTATATTTAGCGAATTATACACGGCTTTTTGAGATGTTAAAAAAGACTTGGCAGGATGGGAAGTACTACCTCTCTCCATGTTCGGTAGGATAGAAACAGTGAAAATGAATATATTACCGAGACTTCTGTTCCTATTTCAATCCCTACCGGTTTGGGTTCCGCTCTCAGCATTTAACAAACTAGAAAAAATGATTTCGAAGTTTATTTGGCAAAACAAAAGACCAAGAATAAGACTTAAAATAATTATGTCAAATAAAGACAGGGGGGGGTTGAACCTTCCTAATCTTAGATTGAAGTGCTGTCAAGGACTTTTGTATATATTTTTAAATTAGTGTTTTTTTTTTTGTTGTTTTTTTTTTCTTTCTTTCTTAGTGTATATTTATTTATTAATTTACTTTTCATGTATCAATATTGTAAATAAAAGTTATGTAACAGTGTTTTGTTAAAAAAAAAAGGTTAAATAAACACACAGTTCAAAAAAAAAAAAAAGGATGAGTAGTAGTTAATAGTCTCTTACTGGCCTGTTTAGACAAGCTCTCCATAAAACAAACAAAACAAGCCCTTGCAAATTAATAATTATTATTTTAAAGACGCATAGACCTATTATATAGACACTTCATTTTTAGTGGTATTTTATTATTTTGATTGCATTTAATATATTATACTTTCAAGAAAGCACTTCCATTGGGTTTGTAAAAGCTGTTTTTATGAATTTTTGGTCTGAGTTTTTGTTGCATTTACACAGTTTTGACCAGCAGGTGTCACCAGCATGTGGTGTTTCGAGCACTTTGAAACACTGATTCATTTTGCGAAGAAATTGTTTCAATTGATTCGAAGCTTCGAAATGGCTAGTTTCTCCCATCACTAGCAAAAACAAGACAATATAAACATGGCATACGCTCAGTGGTGTCCACATACAGCTGAACAAGACTTCACGATCTGAGAGCGTTTGTGTGCAGCATTTATAGTCCTGCAGACAGGAAACAAGAGTGTATGCAATTAGTCCCTGGGCATGGGGTGTTATGGGAAATAGAGTCCAAGAAACAGTGGAAAAGGTCTGAAATGGAGTGCCCTCTAGAGGAACTCATGGGCACTCCAGCTGGACATCGTGACATTACCATGTTTGAAAATGACAATATATCCTAAATATTGACCTAATAAATCAACAATCAATATATCAATATATATATGAGTCTCTTAAATAACACATATAATGTTATTAAATTAGACAAACTAAAGAATATTAAACTGGTGTTTAACACAACAAGCAGATTCACTCAGGACTTACTAAAGAACAAATGAAACAAAATAAAATCAGAATAACAACAAAGTATGAAAACCGTTAATGTAAGTAAACACAAACATTCACATGCTTTTTACTCTTAATATCTGCTGCAGATGAAGTTGAGTTTGTAAGTTTCAGGAAGGCTGATCCAGCGCTGATCTCCTCCAGACTGAACTGCTCCTTTTCTCTTCTCAAGGCTGCAGTTTTCCTGTTTCGTTCCGTTCCCTGGAGCCCAGTTCTGATAGCACACGATCTCCCCACTCACCCAGAGCCACATGTTCATGATGCAGTAGTTGTGTAAACCCAACCACACCTCCGCAGTAGACGCTCGTTTAACCACGTTCATCACACGACGCTGTATATCTTCTGAATGAACCGAGACCAGATCCACATGATTCTGTCTGCAGTATCTCAGAGCTTCAGACCACGTCAGATTCTCTCTGATCACAATCAGTTTATCTGGAAACCAAACAAAGCACAAGCAGAAACTAGAGAGAGACTGATCAAAAACAACATGCAGAACAAACACTGTGGATGAATTTGTCATGTCAGACATGTAGCGTCAGCTTTAAGAGATCTGGAGGTGATGATGGAGTGTGTGTGTTTTGTGAAGATCTACTCACCTTCATGACACATAAAAGAATATTGATTGGTGCAAGAGACATCAAACCATTCTCCCTGAGCATTAACAGCTGTACAGTTTTCACCTCCTCCACTATTATTAGGTTCACCAGACTTCCAGTATCTGAATGAGGAGTCACTCTGATCTGACCACTGCCATGAGTCTCTGACTCTGAATAGACCGATCCAGACTTGTGATTTAGGTGATTTGGTTGCTCCGACCATGATATTAATGAGCTGCTCAACCTGTTGACTCTCATTCTGGTTTCTTACACTGACCAGATCAGTGTGATTCTGTCTGCAGTAACTCTGAGCGTCTCTCCAATTCAATGTCTCATTGACAAAGACGAGTCCTGTATTCGCTTTAAGAAAAACAAATGAGAAAAGATTAATGAATCAGTTTGTACATTGTTCTTATGCTGCTCTATGGTTTGGATGTGAACAGGAGCAGTGGCAGAATCATCAGAAACACAAAGACTAAGACTTGAGCTGCTTCTACAGCTGGTGATATATTGAATATTCACAATATAAGATATTTTAAAGTTATACCATTGTCTATCTAAATTCTCAATTCTGATTGGCTGGAAGGAGTGTGTTCAAACTGTTAAGTGTTGCACACAGAGAAACATTTAGGAGCACAGAAACTGAATGTCAACCCTGTGCTGACTTTTATTAATACAATAGCTTCATGACAGAATCGCTATTTTATATTTCTCTGCAATTGTTTCACCTTTACTCACTGCTTTATTTTTATTATTAATAAAAATAAAGCAGTGAGTAAAGGTGAAACAATTGCAGAGAAATATAATCTTGGAAATAAAATATCTTAGACAATGATCCATATGGATCATATAATATTAATTAATATTATAAGATCCATATGGATCACTGTCTAAGATATTTTAGGCTGTTTAATTGCAAGTTTCCTTTATCACATAGTGTGACAACAAAAGATCAAAGTTTGTTCAGTGAAAGTCTTTTGTTTAGGCAAATATTGTGTCTATACAGAAATTGTCTGAAATAGCACCGAAAGTGTGACACATATGCACAGTCCCCTCTATACTCAAAATCAAATTAAAAAGTAATAGTGTTCAGTATTGCATTAAAACTAGGGTGACCATACGTCCTCTTTTTCCCGGACATGTCCTCTTTTTGGACCTTGAAAAATGCGTCTGGCCGGGATTTCTAAATCGCCCAAAATGTCAGGGATTCGGATTTTAATTTTAGAGCCCTGAAGAAGACTGTGTCCAGTCCCGTCCACTCCCGCAAACATTCTAACATTGCATATAATTTTCGTGCATCAGTGGGCCGCTATCAATATGCGGAGAATATAATCTCTTTTGAATGAGCGCTCGCTGTTCACTTTCATCACGCGTGCTCTAAGGAAAATCATATATTTGTCTATGAGCTCAGGATCTGTTGAGCAGCAAATCCTCCAGCATGGTCTGTCAACCATCTCTCCTCTCTGATCAGTCAAATCTGACTCCTGCAGCTTGTGTTGGATGCAGGGTTGTCAAGTTTATTTTTTTTTCCGATGGAATTGGGCTTTTAAACTGTTGCCATCTAGATATAAAGTTTTGTGAAGGACGGCCACTGGTAGGAAGCTATTTAGCTGTGTGTATGATAAATATGCTTAACACTGACTGTAAAATATGTATATTAAGTATGGAAATTACATATTTTGAGTTTTGATATTTGAGATTTCGCTACTTTGGGCGCTTTTGGCATTACTTTAACCACCAACCAACCACACCCCAGCCCCCCGCCCCACCCACTGTCCTCTATTTGGAAAACTAAAATATGGTCACCCTAATTAAAATTTGGTATATGGTGAATGCATAAATGAACTCACTGTTGTTGCAGATGAAATGTCGGGTATCAAAGCATGCCAAATCATGCCATTCTCCATTGAACATCACAGCACAATAATCTCTGCCTTCTGGTTGTCCAGTAGCCCAGTTCAGATAAAGCACAGGTTCACCTGAAGGCCACTCCCATTCATCACGACCCGTCTTCTGCAGCCCGATCCAGACAAACTGAGCACCTCCATCATTCACACTCTTATTCATCTCGTTCATGTCGTTCATGTTGTCAACGGTGGCCAGATCTGTGTAATTCTCTCTGCAGTATCTCTGAGCTTCAGTCCAGGTCTTCCTCTCATTTATAAAGTGATACTGACGCTGAACACATTCAGATACGGAGCAGAGAGCTGTGAAAGAGAGGCTTTGCTTCAATGATCTTCATAACAGGATCAAACCTAATGAAACTAGAAACCATAAATAAAACCACAAACACACTCACCAATGAGAAGAAGAGTGAAAAATAGAGTTTGGTCCATTTCTGAGGAAGAAAAAATTAAGAGACAACAACATGACATAATTAAATAAATAAATAAATGTAAAAAAATAAATGAATAAAATTAAATAAACAAAAAAATATATATAAAATAGCAGCAGAGTGGAATTCGCATTCATTCAGATAATAATATTAACATCTCAAAGTCTAATTTTAGTTAAAGAATGAACTTGTGAGTTGTTCTTACTTTAGAGGTCGTGTGTTTCTGTCCTGAGTCTGATGTTTCTGTCTGCAGCTTCAGACTGTGTGATTATCATATCTGCTCTCATCCGTCATTCAACACGTCACATAACTTTGTTTATGACTCTAAAACAAAAGCCCTATTTAAGGTTTCTTCCTCATTCATGTGTATGTCCACATGTTTCTCTGTATTTTTGCTTTAATTAGATGAAAGTGTGTTTTAACATAAGTTAAAATACCAGGACATAATGTGAAATTGATTTAAATACAGAAACATTAAATAATATAAATTGTGAAATTATAAATTATGAAACATACACACTGTAATGACAAACAGCAAGATAGTTCACCCAAAGAAGAAAATTATGTCATCATTTACTCTGCCTTGTCTCGTGAAGAGTGTTCGGGTATAGTATTTCTTGTCTATACTTTAGAAGTTTATGAGGGTTTGAGACTGTATGTTCGTGCCATCAGCCAATCAGTGGTGAAATGAAGTGAAATGATGCAAGACGTCCAGGAGTTTGTTTAATCATAATCATACTTAAACATAATCATCTCAAAAATAAATAGTAAAATATACATACCTGACATTACAAAGATACATAGTGTGGAGATTTACACAAATATATATATATATATTTTTTTTTATTTAAATGTTACTTCCTCTATATTTGTGTATTTATCCACATATCTTACTGTTGACTGTAACTGCTGTGTTTATAATCAGGCCTCAAAGCAGGAAATAGTATGTGCCGATATTCCCCTCATTTGCTTTTTGACGTCAATCAGTTAGTATCCGTATCAGCAAAACACTCTGTATTAAATGTACACTTTCTCAAGCACATACAACATATCAGCACACACAGCTAATGTTCTTATGGTCACATTTCCTCAATAAAAATTAATCTGAAAGCATCAGTTACCTGTCCAAGCATTGAAGGGATGTGATGTTCATTGTGAAGCTGGGATGGGTTGTTTGATTCAATCAATGCACAGCGCACCACACATTCAAACGCTGTGTTTATCATCACAGGTGACTTCAACCGTTGTAATTTACCAAATGTGCTTCCAACATACAAACAACATACGTTGATTTCTCTAAAAGGGAGGAAAACATTTTAGACCAGGTCTACAGTATGTAAGGCCACTTTGATCTCCTCATGAAGCCAAAACTTCACGAACAAAACAGATGCCATGGGTTGGGATGCTGGGTTGTTTCAACCCAACTTCGGGTCAAATATGGACTAACCCAACCGCATTTTTTAGTGTGTAGAGTGAAACGCTGGGCGCCGGTCCGTTAGCAGTTCCCCGCTGAACACGACTCCAGCTCGGGCACGAGAACCAGCGCCGTTACGATGGAAACAGAACAACAGAGACTGGTCAATTACACGTGAATGACTTATGTTTAATGTTGAATTTTTGTTCTAATGTTTGTTAAACGAGTTTAAATATAGGCAATATGTACAGCCTATTAAAAAGGATATAAACAATGCTGTAAATGATAAATAAAGGAAAATAAAGGAAGTTATCATGCAAACCAGTGGTATTATTTTAGAAAAGTTTAGAGGATTTAAGTTAATCTGTAAAACTTACTTAATGCATGAAGTAAAAAATAAGATAGTAATATAGTAAAAACGAATAAACCCATTAGCTGGGTTAAATCAACCCATTATGCTTGGTTAAATAATCCAATTTGCTGGGTAAATTTAACCCAAGATGGGTTATGTCCTATATCTACCCAGCCCTTAGGTTAATAACAACCCAAATTGGGTTGTTTTTAACCCAGTGTTTTTTAGAGTGTATGTTCTAATGTCAGTGAGGAGTGCTATAGGTGCACAATAATTAATCTTTAAATTAAACTGCAGATTTCAGACCAGGAAAGTCTGCTAGTTCACTTGCTTTGGACCGGACCAAATACAATGTTGATTTTTTTGGTTTGATGCGGTTCACTTTCACACTGCCCTTTTTGCAAGTGAACCAGAAACTGTAAACAAAACCACACATGTGCTTAAGGTCATCCATTCATTGGTTCATCCATTCAACCGTACCAGAGTTTGTTTGGAAGCGGACCGAGACCACCTATTCAGCTGGGTCTCGGTACGGTTGTTTGGTGAGCACCCGAGTGCGACTGCTGTATTCACACCTGCCCAAAAGATCCACACCATGAGGGGAAATGAACTTGAGTTTGATTCAATCGAACCAAGCAAGGCAGGTGTGAATACACCCTTAGTGAGATCAATGATCAATGATGCACACTTACTTAAATATTATGGCAGACACTGCTGGATTTGGTGGATGAACAGTCCATTTTCCGGTTTGAATAATAGCTACTGTACAACCACACCATGTTAAACATGGTGTCACGTGGATGGAAATATGCATGGAAATAATATGCAGATGAGGTTATGCATAGTAAAACTAGGCATTGTAAGCTCCATATATGGTGATTTTGGGGAGGAGACGGGGTGGAGATGCACATACGCACAATCTTCCCCTGACTGGGATTTATAAAGGGACTTTTGCACAGGTGCTGGCATAAAATCTAGCTTTTGTGCATACATAAACTTTTAGGATGAAATCTACGGAGAGTTTTATAATATAGACCCCAGTTACTTACACTGTAGAAATATGGCATTAATGATATTTATTATTAATGTCACGAAAAAATTATAGGCTACTTATAGCCTGTTAAATATTGGGTAAAGTAAAGGCAATAAGTCACTTTTATAAAGGTTTACTACTACTATATTTTACTCTGGATTCAAGAGTTAGCTTTTCATTAGGGCAACTAGTTCTAAATAAACTTTAATTGCAGAAAAATATTAATTCAATAATTAAGAGCCTGCAATATAATGGAATATTAATATTGTTAAATGCATTTTATTCAAAAATATCATTTGTTTTTCATCTGTTGTTTATTAATAAATTATTTATTTATTCCAACTGCCCTAATCCCAGCAAGTCATTTATGGGGGACTGTGTGGGCCAGATGGACTGAATTTTAGCACCAGTCCAGCCCTGGTGATTCTCCTCTTCTAGGGCCAGAAAGAAGACCTTCTAATAATAAAACTATTTAAAGTAAACTGTATATGCTCAAAAGTTGTTGCTGTTTCTGGAAACCTGCAATTGTATCTCTGTGTGTTGGAGATTTTATTTAATATTTTTTTTAATAATAATAATAATAATAAATAAATAAATAAACTAATTATTCCTGTGGTAGAAAACGTTGTGGCACCAAGATAGGCTACTATGAAGGGGGGTCCTTGGGATTGCTATAGCCCCAGGGCCCTATGTGTTCTTAATCCGGGCCAGTCCCTGTTCTGACATCATACCTGCACTCTATTACTTTCGCTTTTGAAAGCTGTATGTCAGACTATGCCAATGAGAGTGTTTGGGGTGGGGCCGTGTTTGACCTGGAGCCATAATGTTGTTTGCAGTACATCTGTACAAATTAAGATTTTTTTTTTCCTATTTTTTTGTGAACTTTAATGAATTCACAAATGTGTTAATAGTGTACAAGTGCTGAGTTTCTGAAACGAACAAACATATCTATCTATCTATCTATCTATCTATCTATCTATCTATCTATCTATCTATCTATCTATCTATCGTCAGACTATGCCAATGAGAGTGTTTGGGGTGGGGCCGTGTTTGACCTGGAGCCATAATGTTGTTTGCAGTACATCTGTACAAATTAAGATTTTTTTTTTCCTATTTTTTTGTGAACTTTAATGAATTCACAAATGTGTTAATAGTGTACAAGTGATAATTAAATGGAACAAACAAACATATCTATCTATCTATCTATCTATCTATCTATCTATCTATCTATCTATCTATCTATCTATCTATCTCTGAAGCCATCACTGGGGTACTTCCCTAAGGTACAAAAGTGGTAAAATAGATAAACCTTATTTTGCCTATTAGTTCTTTAGTACCAAAGGTACATGTAAAACTGATTTAATTAAATATCCTTTGCTTTGTATATGCAAATATACAAAAAAACAACAACCTGGTCTCATAAAAATATGTACCTCTGGCTAATTTTCTGCAACGCCATTACTGCACAATTTGCCGCAGTTTCAAAGAGAGATATCCACTGAGTGGCGCTAAAACACGGGGTCAATATGTGAACACTGGCACATTTGTATTACGTTGATATAGGTACGTATTGCTGTGTTTTTATTATGTTGCTTCAGGTACGTATTGTGGCGGTTCAGAATTCAAATATCCGGGGACTGTCGCTAAAAGTTAATGCTCTATCGTATTCATTCATTCAAGCCCTGCATGAGCCCAGCCCATGACCAACAGTTTATGAGTATTCTCGGCCGGAGTCCGACTGGATACCGTGTCTTTTTTTCTCTCTCTCTTCCTCATTACACAGCTATTAAAATAGTTAAGTTTTGGATTTTAATGGCAAAGTGGTCATATTCCTTTTTGATTCTTTATTAAGTTAATTTTGAAATATGTTTTGGAATGGAATTTTTTTATGGAACGACCAAGCGAACGCGGCATTTTGAGTTGAGCATTATGTTTGATCAATTTAGCCTTCTCAAACCAACACGACTTGCCTAAAATTAAATAGTGGAAACTTAAAAATACGCCGTCATTTTTGCTCATAAAAGGTAAGAGTATACATCATTCGGAACTGCAAAGGGTCTACTTGTATTTGTGTGCACATTTACAATATCAACAAAGCCTTGTGCTTTTGTAAAATAAGGAAAACAAACAGGATGTGCTTTCTGTCGTCTTGGTCTTGAGCAGAAGCACTTCACCAACATGATACATATATCTATAGAATGCTTTAAATTACTATTTTAAAACAAAATAATTCAAATCAAATCAAAAACTCTTTCATTATGTAACCCGTAAAGATACATTTCTCCCTAAAAAACAATTTTTTTTTTGCAAATGGGCCCAGGGCTGACTCGCTACGCCATTGCTCATGTTGGAAATATGCCCTACACCAAGCCCAACCCTAAACCTACCCGATAGTGTTAACAAATGCAAAACTCATATAAAAACGCA